ACCTCCAACTCCTGGGCTCAGGCGAGTCTGCTGCCTCAGCCTCCCAAGTAGCTGGGACCACAGGCACCCGCCACAACACCCGGCTATTTTTTGGTTGCAGCCGTCATTGTTGTTTTGGTGGGCATGGGCTGGATTCGAACCCACCACCTTAGGTGTATGTGGCTGGTGCCTTAGCCACTTGAGCCACAGGCACTGAGCCTCATTGTGGTTTTGATTTGCATTTCCCTAAAAATTAGTGATGCTGAGCAGTTTTTCATATGTTTGTTGCTGACTTTACATTTGTTGTTGTGTGTCTTTCAGGGAATGCTCCCCCCATATCTGCATAGTTCTCGCCTTCATTTCCTTGAAAACTTTTTGTTTAAATGTCACCTTCTCTGTAAGAGTTTCTTCATAGCATTTTTTCTTTAACACGTTATAAATTGTACTTTATTGTTTTGTGTATTGCTGTTTTTCTTCACTAGAATGTAAATTCAAGGTGGACAGGAATATATGTTTGTTTACTTATAATTCCCCACCCCCCCCAAGCACAGTTTCTGACAGATAGTTGTGCTCAATAATGTTGAATGAATAAATCTCATTGGTAGAAGGAGCCCAGATCTACTGCATTAAGTCAGAGCAAAAGTCAGACCTAGGTCACACAAAACGTTTTCCCTGAGGTTACAGCTCACTATGCTTGGGAAACATTTAATTTTTTGTAACCATCAAAGTTAAAAAATGTGATTTTACCTGTTCCAAGAATTGGATTAGAGCTTCCCGGTTACCCAGCCACTCCCGCTGTAATTCCTCTTGGCGGGGAAACTTGTTGCAACTTAGCTCTAGGGTGATCTCAAAGCAGTTGGTATGGAGATAATTAAAGTCTTGCATTCCTAGGGGGAAAAGAGCAGTGGCAGGTTTGTTTAACCAGGCTCCCACCCATCTCATGCTCTTTAATCATAGTTTCTCCATCACCACGCCCCAATCACCTCTTCTACCTCTTGACCTCATTTGTTTCTCTCCCCCATGAAACCTTTCCCCAAGTTCTCAGTTCACATGTCTTTCTCTCTTTCTGGTTTTCTCTCTTCTTAAATGCCCATTTTGTCACCTACATTTTCTGTGTTTTTTTTTTCTATTTCATGAGTTGAATTTCGCTTCTTGTCCCTTTTATCTTTTCCAGTCTGCCCATTAGCTGTGCCTTAAGAGCAGACTATGCACATGTATTCCTTTCAGGAGAATAGACTTATCTTTGAATTACAGTGTTCTTCAGACCTGGGAGGTTAGAGAGATAAATATCTTGCTTTCATATCTCTCCTTCTACCTGAATATGATGCAGCATTAATCTGAAAATATTTATCCCCCAAAATTAAATTTTTAAAAAAGCAGAAGGCTACCATATTTTGTATTTTCTCCACCAAATCTTGCCTGTTCCAGTCTTCTATACATATTATTCAATCATTCATTTGAATCAATTGCTTTTCTTTTCTTTTTTTTTTTTGACAGGGTCTTGTTCTGTCTCTTGGGCTAGAGTACAGTGGCATCATCATAGCAGCTCACTGCAACCTCCAATTCTAGAGCTTAAGTGATCCTCCTACTCAGCCTCCCAATTACCTGAGACTATAAGTGTGTGCCACCATGCCTGGCTGATTTTTTCAATTTTTTGTGGAGATGAGATCTGATTCTTGTTCAGGCTGCTCTAGAACTCCCAACCTCAAGTGATCCTCCTGCTTTAGCCTCCCAGAGTGCTAGGATTATAGGCATGAACCACTGTGCCTGGAATTACTTTTTAATGTATTTCTGATTATTAGGACCATGGTTATATTGTGAATTCATTTGAGTTAAAACTTATCCATTTGAAGATGTCTGTACTACCTAAGGTGATATATAGATTCATTGCAATTGCTATCAAAATTCCAATGAAGCCAGATCAATGCCTCATGCTTGTAATCCTAGCCCTTTGGGAGGGCAAGGTAGAAGAATTATTTGAGGCCAGGAGTTTGAGAACACCCTGGACAACATAGCAAACCCCTTTATCTACAAAAAATTAAAAAATTTTCTGTGTATGGTGGTATGCACCTGTAGATCCAGTTACTAGTGAGGATGAGGCAAAAGGATCACTTGAGCACCAGAATTTGAGGTTATAGTGCTCTATGCTTGGGAGTGAGTGGGTGGCAGTGACTTCATCTCAAAAAAAAAAAAATCCATTGCTGGCAGCACCTGTGGTTCAGTGGGTAGGGTGCCGGCCCCATATACCAAGGATGGCAGGTTCAAACCTGGCCTCGGCCAAAGTGCAACAAAAAATAGTCGGCATTGTGGCGGGCGCCTGTGGCCCAGCTACTTGGGAGGCTGAGTCAAGAGAATCGCCTAAGCCCAGGAGCTGGAGGTTGCTTTGAGCTATGTGACACCTCAGCACCCTACCAAGGGTGATAAAGTGAGACTCTATCTCTACAAAAAAAAAAGAAAAATCAGGCGGCACCTGTGGCTCAGTGGGTAGGGTGCTGGCCCCATATACCGAGGATGGTGGGTTCAAGCCCGGCCCTGGCCAAATTGCAACAAAGAAAAATAGCCAGGTGTTGTGGTGTGTGCCTGTAGTCCCAGCTACTCAGGAGGCTGAGGCAGGAGAATCACCCTAAGTCCAAGAGTTGGAGGTTGCTGTGAGCTGTGTGACACCATAGCACTCTACCAAGGGCGATAAAGTGAGACTCTGTCTCTACAAAAAAAAAAAATCCATTGACTTTTTGTGATATAGAAAATCCATTCTAAAATTTATATGGAATTTCAAGGGACTCTGAATAGCCAAAACAATCTCTTGAAAAAGAAGAACAAGGCTAGGGGACTTACACTTCCTGGTAACAAAACTACAGTAATTGAAATACTGTAGTACTGGCATGAAGATGGACATATAGATCAGTGGAACAGAAGAGAGTCCAGAAACCCTTGCATACCTGGTAAAATGGCTTTTGACAAGGGTTTCAAGAACACTCAGTGGGTGAAAGATAGTGTTTTTAACAAGTGGTGCTGGAAAAACTGGATATCCAAATGGGAATAGAATGAAATTTGACCCTATCTAAAACCATATGCAAAAATTAATCGGAGACTAAAATGTAAGACCTCAAACTATAAAACTCTTGGAAGAAACATAAAGCAAAAGCTAATGGCACTGAATTTGACAATTATTTCTTGAATATGATACGAAAGGCGAAGGCAACAAAAGAAAAATAGCAGATTGGACTTCATGACAATTAAAAAATTTTGTGCATCAAAAGGCCAATATCAACAAAGTAAAAAGGCAACCTACAGAATAGGAGAAGGTCTTTATGAATCTTATGTCTGATAAGAGGTTAATATCCAGAATATGCAGAGAACTCCTAAAACTCAACAACCATTAAAAAACCAAACAACTTTATTTTCAAAATGGGCAAAGAACTTAAAAAGACATTTCTCCAAAGAAGATATACAAATAGCCAATGAGCACATGAAAAGATGCTCAGCATCACTAATCATTAGGGAAATGCAAATCAAAACCACGATGAGATACCACCTCACATCCATCAGGATGGCTGCTACCAACCCCCCTCCCAAGGAAAACCCCCAGAAATTAACAAGTGTTTGTGAGGATGGAGAAATTGGAACCCTTGTGCATGGTTGGTGGGAATGTAAAATGATACAGTTGCTATGGAAAACAGTATGACAGTTTTTCAAAAATTAAAAATAGAATTAGCATATGATACAGCAATACCAATTTTGGGAAAATATTTGAAAGAATGGTAAGCTGGGTCTCTGTATAGCCATGTTCACAACAGCACCATTCATGACAGCCAAAAAAGTGGAAGCAACCAGTGTCTGTTGGCAGATGAATGTATAAACAAATTGTGGTATATACATATAAAGGAAGATTATTCAGCCTTGGCAAAGAAGGACATTCTGACACGTGCCATAACATGGACAAATCTCAAAGACCTTAACCTAAATGGAATAAGTCATTCACAAAAAGACAAGTACTGCATGATTTCACTTAAATGAGATACTTAGAGCAGTCAAAATCATAAAAACAGAAGATAGAGTGGTGGTTGCCATGGGCTAGGGGAGGAAGGAATGGGGAGTTAGTAGTTAGTGGTATAGTGTTTCGGGTTTGCAAGAGGAGAAGAATAGTGGGGATTGTTGCACAATATTAAAGATGTATTTAAGAACACTAAACCACACACTTAAGAATGGTTAAGATGGTGATTTTTTAATGTGTATTTTGCCACAATAAAAATTGAAAAAAATTTATCCATTTCATCAACTTTCACTTGTCTTTAAGCTCATAAGTACAAGTTGCTATTACAGAAAGAATGAAGAAAGTAGTATAACAATAACTATAGCCTGTGATACTGGTTGTCTCCATGCATTATAATCATTTAGAAGGCTGAGCTTCCCCTTAAAATACAGATTTCTGAGCCTTACCCCCAGAGTTTCTGATACAGTAAGCATAGGGAGGGGACCCAAAACAGAGATTTCTAATAAGTTCCCAGGTGATGTGATGATGCTTGTCAAGAGACCACATTGTTGGAATAATCATTTTGATTAATTCAATGACCTTGGAATTGTACCAGCTTAATTTAGGGCAAAGATTCTCAGTGGACGCATGTGCCAGGCTGCCTCAGAGGATGGGAAGGGAAAGGAAGGACAGAGGAAAAAATAACAAATAAAATTTGAAAATGTATATTTGATATTTTCAGTTGTCTTTCCTAACACAAACTAAAAAAAAGAAAGTTCAACAAAATCTTGCCTTGTGTTCAAGTGACTTTGGGGCCACAAGAAGCCTCCCTTCCCAGCACATGATGACGCCTTAACCTTGCCCCTCCCCACTCTCCACAGGCTCAACCACCAACTCAGCTGTCACCAATCTGCTACTTGGGCTGTGGCCAGGTCAGATTTGACAGGATGGAGAAAAATAGATGCTAGGAGATGATTCCTACAACAACCTGGCTTTCTGCTTTAGCCTCTTCTCTAGCCTTAGGTTTCCTATCCATTGAGGGTTCATAAACAAAAGTTCCGTCTTGACCCTTAGTCATGGGGAAGGCCCAGGAAAGAGAGAAAAGCTTCTTACAGAGGTTTCTGCTCCTTGAGGCTACATTATTAATGCCGCAGGACACAATGTCCATGGTAAACTCCTGCTTATGGGGTTGGGCAGTCAGGATACAGGTAACACATCTCTGGGAGCTGCTTGTGGCCAGGCCAGCCCATCCATCGCTATGTGTGGCAAACCTCTCTGCTACTTTTTTTTTTTTTTGAGACAGAGTCTCACTATATCACAGCTCACAGCAACCTCAAACTCTTGGGCTTAAGTGATTCTCTATGTCTCAGCCTTCCAAGTAGCTGAGACCATAAGTGCCCACCACAAGTGGTTATTTTTTGTTGCAGTTGTCGTCATTTAGCTAGCCCAGGCTGGGTTCAAACCTGCCAGTCTCAGTGTATGTGGCTGGTGCCATAACCACGTGCGACGGCATCGAGCCTCCCCGTACTGCTTTTTAAACAACGTATCATTCATAAGCCAAATATTTCTAAATATTTTATATATATTACTTTATTTAATACTTACATCAAAATTATGAGGCAAATATTATTTTTCTTTTCCCCCACCTTTTTTTTGTGGTAACTTAGAAAGGTATTATTCTTAACTATAGATAAAGAAACCAAAGCACAGGCCAGGCACAGTGGGTCACATCCATAATCCTAGCATTCTGGGAGTCCTACGTGGGAGGATTGCTTGAGTTCAGGAGTTCAAGACCAGCCCAATCAAGAGTGAGACCTGTCTCCACTAAAAATAGAAAAACTAGCCAGCTGTTTTGACAGGAGCCAGTAGTCCCAAATACTTGTGAGACTGTGGCAAGAGCATCTCTTGGAGCCCAGGAGTTTGAAGTTTGAGTTTCCTGTGAGCTATGACACCACAGCACTCTACCCAGGGATGTAGTAAGACTCTGCCTCAAAAAAAAAAAAAA